ATAGTAATCCAACTATATTTATCTATATTGTATAATGTGGTTAAAACAATGCCATTTGCACCATCTCCCAGTCATCACCATGTTGATAGTCATGGGTAGTTTATGATTGTTTGAACCACATTACATGGGACATCCCCATAAAAATAGATGATTCTGCCCCAAAAAAACATCTATTTGACTCGGGGATTTTCAATTGCCATCTTTGATTAAGAATAGATCCATGATCACCATAGTTGATTAATGGGATTATATAGGGATTATATAGGGATTATATAGGGATTATATAGGGATTATGGGATGATTAATGGAATGATTCATGTGGGTAAAAACAATGTCATAAACCACCCATGACTGGGCATGGTAACCATACCACCTATAAAATTGGTGATTTGGGGGATGGTTTATTAATCAAAGGAAGTTGGGAAGCAATCTTCCGAGTTACGGACAAATAGAATTGCGAGACTTGCGGAAGTGGTGACTTCGGGAAGTGGGGACTTATAATAGATCCAAAATAATCACCATGGTTGATTATCATTAAAAGCAAATTTATTTATTTATTTCTCTCTCTATCTATCTATTTATTTATTTATTTTTTTATTTATTCATTTAGCCAACCATCAATCAGGCAATCAGAGATACATAAACATGATATTATAACCCATTAGTATTAGTAATGTACTCCAGGAATGATTCTGATGGGTTACACTCCATCTTCCTTCCTTCCTTCCTTCCATCCATCCATCCGTCCATCCATCCGTCCATCCATCCATCCATAATCATAAGATTGTAATGGGAGTTTCGATGGAATATAAATGAAATATCACCAAACGAATAGTTTATGGGGATGAATGAGATAAATTCAGAAGGATTCAACCAGCAATCAATGAGAAAAACATATGGGGCTTTAAGTATCGTGCTTTGGAGGGAGCGATGATAGGAGGGATTGGTTGTATTGATATTCCTGGGTTGACCCCTTGGTTAGATACGAACTACTGTAGTACTTTATTAATCTTTTGCTATCAATGGTAAAAAAAAATATACCAACCAGTAACAAAAATAGTTTTTTTTTGACAGATATCCAAGATCCACCATTTTTTTCCTTCTTAGCCCTGGGGAGCCCTTTGCAGCTACGAATTGAGTTTCCCAACCAAATGATAGGCTGAAAATCTATATATTTTCTGATGGAGTTATATATGGAACTATTTTCTGATTTTTCATGGTTGGGATATCTTCATGTTTCAATGATGTGATGGATAGCATCGATTTTGCACTTGGCAACTGGTGAAAAGCCTAGGTTTTTTGGCATTGAAAGATGGGGATTCATTGCCAAGAATGCCGAAGTAAGTGAGAAACACGGGGGAACCATGAGTTACTAACAGAGATGGAGATTTCAAGTATAGGGGTTGGTTTCCCCATTGGGATCACAATTCCCATCCTTCTGGAACCCAAAAAACCCGAGTCGTCATGCAGGGGAGGGAACCGGTGCAACATTTCACCATCATGATGAACATGTTGAATCATATCATCGCGTAATGATCACTGGTTGGTGGGTTGGAACCATGGATTTTTTTATTTTCCATATTTTGGGAATGTCATCATCCCAACTGACTTTTATATTTTTCAGAGGGGTTGAAACCACCAACCAGATCAGATTTCTCTCTTATCTTGTCAAACATAATCTATATGAGACAGTTTGATAAGAGCCTCCGGTAATTTAACATAGCTATGGACATCATAGTTTCACTAATAAAGGGCCATTTTCCATAGCTATGTGACAAATTGCCAGAAGCTAGATCTTTCTATGTCTATATCCCATTCTATTCCCATTATATTACCATTTTTGATGATAGAATCACCCTTTTTTCATGGTTAAATCCCATGGGGAAACGATCCAAGTCCCATCCTACCATTCTTAATAGCTGGAGCATCATTTTTGTCATCGGACCATGGCTTCGCGAAATTTCCGAATTTCAGCCCAGGTGAAGGTGCGTTTACTGAATCGAGACGACCTCAGCTTTTCCATGAGGCCACGGGTCCAAGTGAATCATTTCATTGGGAGATCTTCAGGATCCAATGGAGATACTAACTTAGTAGCATTTTTTAGGCCATAGAAATTGGGGAGATATCCCCTGAAATTTAGACCTGAAAAATATATGGAATCGGTACCTCCAATGAATCGGTTCCTGTTGCATGGCCATTGATTTCAGCCATGGTGACTTGGGGAAAGCCTCGATTTTTTAAAGGACATCTCCAGACGGGGATTTCCATAGGCGGGGTACCCAAATGGATGGTTTTTGTTGTGGAACATCCTATAAAAATGGATGATGACTGGGGGTGTCCCATGGTACCCTCTGGTAAACTAGCATAACTATGGAAAATCACAATTTTTAATGGGACAACTCAATATAAATCGCCAGTTTCAATAGCTATGTTAAATTACCAGAGGGTATCAAAATTTCAGGAAACCTCCATATTTGTCTGAAAGTTTAGGGAAAAAACAACAAATCCAGTGGCTGATCGTCATTATCCCATTGCGAAGGCATACTCAAGAATCCAACTCTATTGAAGATGGTTTATGGCCTTGGGTTTACCAAAAAATATCACTTTGAACATTTTCATTTTATGAGATTTTTATAGGTATCCACCGATCTCAGACAGAGCCTTTATCCCCAAAAAATACCATATACTTAAATGTGATGTGCATCCCGGTGAATAAGTGGTTTGTAACCCATGTATTATCCAAACCCAACTGCACGCATGGTAGTGAAATCATCCAAATTCACTTGGTTGAGTTAGTAAGTGGTGATCATATGCAACCTTTATGATTTATGTATACGATTATGTAAACCCCGTCGATCTGTGTCGATCTAACAGGGCATCCGTCCCATTTTGAGCGTTCCCCCCCAGTATCTGTATGAATTTACTGGGTAAATGGTGGATTTCACATAATCTTAGATGTACTCTTGGGTAACTGGCCCGCCATTTGTGGCTCCAAAACAGCACCGAAAAGCGACCCATCACCCATCACCGTGGCCAGTGTCGAAGGAAACCTCCGAAGCAGCTGATTTCCTTGGATGAGAGGAAAGAAGTGGAGGGACAGGCGGGCAATGGAGGGATATTTCTTGGAGGGGCACGAATCGGATGGTTTACAACACCCTAGAAACCATATTTCATCATTTCATTGCATCCCATATAGAAGTGGGGATATTCCATGTACATACATACATACATGCATGCATGCATGCATCTAAAATGCCATAAAACAGGGGGAAATTCAGCAAGACAAACATACTCTGGATGAAATCCTGAATCACCAAAGGGATGGTTGAACCCCTATATCAATGGATTGGCTTAAGGGAGAATCTACAGGAAACCAGAGATTTTCCTATGAAATATGGGTGTTTCCTGTAATTCTTCCATATTCTTCCCTTAAACCAATCCATTGACTATAATGGGATACACCACCTATCAACTGGTGGATTTTGCAACCATCCAGGTGACCAACAAGAGCAACTCCTCGGCGCTGGTGAAGCTGAAGCAGCCGAGTGCGGCTGGGGGGTGAGATGGGGGGAAGAGGGGGGAAGTAAACCAGAACAACTTGGATTTAACCCCAGTCTTTATCCCGGCAAGAGACCCCAAACGGTGTGAGGGGAGTAAAATGACAATGTATTATAATGTTGATTGTGATGCTACTGTTGATGATGATGAGGGTGATGATGATGATGATGATGATTCATGATGATGATGATGATGATGATGATGATGATGATGATGATGATGATGATGACGATGACGATGACGATGACGGTGTTGATGATGATGGTGATGACGACGATGGTGGTGATGATAACGATGATGACGACGACGACGATGATGATGATGACGACGACGACGACGATGATGATGATGAGGATGATGATGATGAGGATGAGGATGAGAGGAAGATGATGAGAGGAAGATGATGGGAGGAAGATGAGGATGTTGATGTTGAGGAGGGGGAAGATGAGGATGTTGAGGGGGATGATGTTGAGGAGGAAGGCCGGTCCCAAGACCGGGAAGCACACTTTGTGCGAGCTTGCGCAGGTCAAAGGCATTTCACAAGAGCCATTTTGTGCCGAAATTTACAAGGAAAATGCCGTAATCCCGCGGCCAGCATTTTGTGCGAGCCTGCGCAGTCGAAATGCACATGGACACTTCACAAGAGGCATTTTGTGCGGAAATTTGCAGGGAAAATGCGCCGTCGAAATGCACAAGGACATGTCACAAGAGACATTTTGCGCAGAAATTTGCAGGGAAAATGCCGGACGCTAATCCCGGGGCCAGCATGTGCGGGTCTGCGCGGTCGAAATGCACATGGACACTTCACAAGAGGCATTTTGCGGGGAAATTTAGAGGGAAAATGCCGGAGGCTAATCCCGCAGCATGCATTTTGTGCGAGCCTGCACAGTCGAAATGCACATGGACATGGCATTCTGTGCGGACATTTACAGGGAAAATGCCGGACACACCGGATACCAACCTCGATTGAACACTGGGCCTTACCGCAAGAACCCCTCAGTGTGGCCACACTGTTTGGGGAAATATGTGGATTCAACCATTGAAACATGGGGATTCTAAAAGAAAAAAATGGTGGATTGATCAGAACAAGGATTGAAACAAGAAACTCCAGTGCAGAGTGAATGGTTATCTTACAGGGCTTGGCCGAAATCATTTTTTGGAGGATTAGGCATCCATTTTGGAGGTTCCACATGGAAATTCAGCAAATGGATCCACTGGATCTGGGGGATCCTCTCTTAAAAATGTGGTACCCTCTCCCACGGCACAATTCTAGGAAAAAATCGGGCATTTGCCTTCCGAAAGATTAGGGAATGTTTCAATAGTTCAATAGTTTCAATGAAAATCGGGTTTCCACCTCCGAAATGGCCCAAAAAAAGGAGAACATGAATTTTCAGCCGTTGGATTCTTCGTTCTCCCAATTTCTCCCATCATTTTTCGGAGTTTTCGGAGTCCCCAAAGTGGTGCCCTTGCTCCCGGCAGAGCTGGCCTCGAGGCAACGTCTCAGAGGAGCTTTGGGGCTATCTGCCCTGGAGCGAAATGGAGAAAGAACTACAGTTGGGAGAGGAGGCCATGGAGAAGATGGGAATAGGAAAGGGATGGAAGTAGATCAGGGAAAGAATTCTTCAATGATTTCTTGGATATGATTGTATCATATTGTATCATGTTTACAACATTACTGAATGGTTTTGAATGGATTTTTGTGTTTTTTTTGAGAGATGTATGGCAACCCCGCAAAAAGATGCCGAACAGTGATACATGGACATCTTTTTGAGGGGCTACTAGTATACGTAGCTATGAAAAATCACAGTTTTTAATGGGTATATAAATCATCTAAATGGGCGCACTTTTGAATTACGAGAGGTATGGATGAAAATGTCAAGTAATGGCACTTGACTGGTGATTTGTCGGAGCTCAATCATCATTGGATATATTAATGATTGTACCCCATTTTCAGACACACAGCCATATCAACGTATATCAACCATATCCTCAGATGTTTGATGGTTGTCAACATTAGGGGTAGCCAACCAAAAGACTCAGACCGTAAGACATGGAGCAAGTTGAAGATTTGTGAGAGAGTTGATGTGGAGCCGGAACTTTTCCGAAACTTCAACAGGGGACATTTGTGGGTTTCCATAGTCATGGTATCCCAAAAATATGGATGGTTTATGACTGGAAAATCCCAATCTAAAATGGATGATTTAGGGCTACCCCCATTTTAGGAAACCCACCATTTTTTCGAAATGGAAGAAGCGTTGTCCCTTTGCCATTTGTCATCGTAAAAAAAATGAAGACCTCACGTCGCGTCGCTGGATGGTTAGGATTGGGGTTCACCATCTCATGTCCTGTCTCAATCGATATCAGGTTGCTGAACATGGCTTTTATTTTTCCATAGTATATGGGATTTAACCAACAAAACTGGTGATATATATATATATATGTATATATATATATATCTGATTGGTGGTTTGGAACCATTGAATTTTATGACTTTCCATTCACTTGGGAATGTCATCATCCCAACTGTCGAACTCCATCATTTTTCAGAGGGGTTGGTATACCACCAACCAGATGATGATGTATCCAAATTGATGTTGGTTTTAACCATCAAACGTATGAGGATATGGTTGATATAGGTTGATATGGGTGTATGTCTGAAAATCAGATATACCCCAAAATAGTCCTTTTGAATGGGAAAATGATCAGAAAACATTATATAATAATAAACCGTTAGTAACCATTGGATTTACCATTAATGACCATTAATTAGTTTATTATTATCAGGTACCTTATATGATTATAAATATGTTAACACTATATCATTAATCCAATGATCAAAAAACATTATTAATGACCATTAATTATTCTCAGTTTACATTAATTATGAACATTGAGGTACCTTATTGAATAAACTATTGGTATTGGACAACCATTGGATAAATTGGATTAATTACAACATTGAGGTACCATTAATTCTCAAAATGATGAATGGTATTAACGGTTTACCATTGGATTTACCATTAATTACCATTAGTAACCATTGGATTTACCATTGTAAACCATGGGATTTACCATTTCTCATTAATTACCATTAATTACCATTAATTACCATTAATTACCATTAATTACCATTAATTACCATTAATTGCCATTAATTGCCATTAATTACCATTAATTACCATTGGATTTACCATTAATTACCATTAATTACCATTTCCCAGTTTACCATTAATTCTGAATAAACCATGGGATTTTGAGGTCCCTGACTTTCAGACCCCCCCAAGCCCGCTGCTTTTTTTCTTTGTGGAGTCTCCGCCAAGTTAGTGGATCAAAAGGGACGTGGAGGACATTGAACACCCCATTTCGAATGGTTAAACCATGGTTAAACCATGCTTCAACCGTGGTTTCACTTGAGTAAACTGCCCCAAACATCGCCCCCCCCAAAATGCCATGTTTGGACCGGCGCGTGTTTTTCCTTGTTTTGACCAGGTCCGATGCCGGATTCTTTCGCTTCAAGGTGAAAAACTTGCGCTGACGATGAGGACCAATGGCTTGATGCTACCACAATAGCTGGATGGTTTATTTCATGGAAGATCTAAAATGGATGATTTAGGGGGACCTCTACTTTAGGAACCCCCTATATTATATATAATATATTATATAGTAATATAAAGATATGTATATATTATATAGGTATAAATGGCTGCATCGATGTATTTGATGTAATGGGTTTCCCAGTGGTAAACTTTGCGTAATCTTCCCATCCACAATGTGAAAATGTCTCTATCCTGGTGATCAAGGAGGATCTTTGCGCAAAGGTCTTTCCCAGAGATCTTTTTTCTCTTTTTTTTTGGCTTAATTTGTTGCCAGAATGGGTCATTACACGTGGGCAACTGCTATTGGCTAAGAACCATTGAGAACGATACTCCAGGACAGGTGGAGGTTTCTGGTGCCACCGAATACCTAGGGTAATTCGAGAAGTAGTGAAGTACCAAGCTGCCGTTCCAGTCATAAACATGTTCCCATTCTCAAATCCATCCCACTGGGAAAACCGTTCTGATCACGTGGACCAGGGATTTGAATGGAGTTATTTGTCCGCTGATTTCACATGTTTGCATGAATTCACCATATCTTTCCTATTTTTTTAAAAACTAGCGGCAAGAAACACAGCTCCGAGGACAGTCTTGAGGAAACCATCGATGCTATGGCCTCAAGATTTCTAGATCTGGAATTCATGACACACTACAGTGTATCACACATGGTTTTGTGTATAATAGTAAACAGAAACACATCAAATTACCATAGATTATACACATCAATCGCTATAGATTACTATAGATTACTATAGATTACCATAGATTACTATAGATTACTACAGATCACACACCCAGGATGCTTTTTGTTTTTCCCCCAGGATGTGTTTCCGTTCAAAGTGGCTTGAACGTTCACCGGTTTCATTCCTGAAGAGTTGGACCTGGCAAGCAAAATTGGGCTTGCGAAATATCAGCACTTGACATGAAGGCAAACCCTAGGAAAATGGTGGTAAACCATAGGAAAACCATAGGAAAACCACAGGAAAATGGTGATTAACGACTAGGAAAATGGTGATTTTTCATGGTTAACAATGGTGAATAATGGGATGATATGGGATTTAGCCTCTGGTAAACATACAAAAAGCTATGGACAATGGCCATTTACATGTATAGTGGATTGACCTAGGAAAATGGTGATTTTTCATGGTTAACAATGGTGAATAATGGGATGATATGGGATTTAGCCTCTGGTAAACATACAAAAAGCTATGGACAATGGCCATTTATAGTGGATTGACCCATAGCATGGCGATTTTCTATAGTTTTTGGTATGTTTACCAGAGGGTAGAGCTACCAGAAACATCCTAGCCTAGTTCGCAAGTTCCCATCAGCAGACACTAGCAGTGAAATTAACCCAGCATATCTATACATATCTACCATAAACCCAACAGTCATAACCATTTTTCATCCGCAGAGACGTCCAGGACCAGTGATTGCAGTCTGAAAGACTTTGCGTGCAAGGACGTCCTCAATGGAGCACCTTGGATGATGGAGATCACAAAGTTTTTCGCCGTATATCTAATATAGATGTGCGTATATATATATATGCAGAATTATATATATAGAATTACTTATATATATACATACACACTATATGTATATATGATTATATCTATAGTTATATTTCTGTATGATTATATATGCATATATATATATAAATATTATACGTTTTTTTTCGGGATGGGATCAAGGTGGCCTCTTGGGGCTCGCGTTGGTGAGGAAAAAAACTCCGGTGCTATGACTTACCATAGGAAAACCATAGGAAAATGCTGGTAAACCATAGGAAAACTATGGAAAAACTGTGATTTAACTACTATAAATGGTGATTTAATGGTGATTGAACAGGGATTTAATGGGATTTTGTGGGATTTCAATGGTGAATTAATGGGAATTCAATGGCGATGAATGGATTCAATGGAACAGTTCAGTTTGCTATTGAACATGGCCCATTTATAGTTGATTTACCTTTCAAAGATGGTGATTTTTCAGTTCGCAAACTGTTAGTTTACCAGAGGGCATTTACTCATTTATCCAGAATCGGAAATAATTTTGTTTCAAGGACTGGCTAGCCAGGTAATATTTACCAATAGGTGCATATCCGAATGTGCTGGATATGTGATTCTAACCATTTTTGCCATGGGTTTGATGCCAAAGGGCGAGCTGTTTGTCGTGGCATCAGGTGGTGCCCCTGTTTAGCGCAATATTTTCAGACCCGAAGTTTTAAGTTAGAGCCTGTGGGAGACCATCTATCTGTTTCCAGAATTTGACTTCTCAGTCATTCAGATTCTCCAACGTTTTCACCATTTGAAAAGCCATGAAGAGCCAAATCTTGTTGGCCTCCATGCAAAAGAAATCCCACTTGAAATCCAACGATTTTGATAATGGTTCCACCCATGCCTCTGGTACCTCTGGGAGTGTAGCCTCGCCAGAGGTTTCATATCTATATCATATATATCTATATATCTATATATCTATATATATATCTCTCTCTCTCTATCTATATATATACATACACACATAGTTTCCACCTTCAAGTGAAACAACCTGTATCGAGACACATGGTCCCAATGCTATGGGCACAAAATGGGTAAGACTGTCCAAGTGCAATGTGACCCATGTGACCCATGTGACCCATGTGACCCATGAATTTTCATACAGACCTTTTCAACGTTGTAATACCCTCTGGTAAACGTTTACACAACTATGGAAAATCACCATTTTTAATGGGTAAATCCACTATTTCAATGGCCATTTTCAAGTTCGCAAACTGTTAGTTTACCAGGCCAGGTAATTGACTCATGTTTCCCACGTGAGGTTGTACAGGAGGTCACAGCTCTGGGCATTTTTGTGCGATTGCAACCTCTCCGTGGAGGTCGAGTGCCTTGATGCAGAAGCCAAACTTAGGGAACAATTTTTTCGGCATGGAGAAACCTGGAATTTCAAACAGAAGACACAAGGACCTCATTGAAAAATATTGAGACAAAAAGGAGGATGTTTGATTGATCCACTTGATTTTCTTTGGCTCAATAAGGATAACCTTCCTGACGAGTTCTGCGAGTTGATCGATTTTTAACTGTTAGTACCCATGAAACCTGGTAAATAATGGGCTAGTCATGGGATAAACCATCTAACCATGTACCAACTGGTGCAGGATTTTGTCCATCCACTGTATCACTAACAAGTGTTGATGCTTGAGAAGTCAACTCGGGTGGTCAGAAATCAGAGCCACAATACCACACCACCATGTAGCCTCCCGTTTTCTTCCTAAATTCGGTAGACAAACACAAACAATACACTTTTTGAGACCTGAAAAAGGTAAGCAAATTAAATCTCTTGGTAACCAGCAAAAAAGGTTCGAACAAGTCGTTTTTACCACTCTTTTTTTTCTAGGATTGGAGGATCATAGATTTTCCATATTTTTTTTGTTTTTTTTTCTCCATGGCTTTTCACGGGCTTTCCATGGGTTTCCTAAGCCTCAGTGGCCGAGGCTTGTCGTGGCTTGGTCCATGTGTCCTTGTTGAAGGCCAACGATGACTTTGCGGAGCCTTGCTTGCACCGGGGCGGGCGAGCGGGCTCCGCCGAAGCCCATGATGGAAACATATGGATGAATTTGATCAACATAGGGTTGTTCTAGGATTTATATATTAGGGTTTAATAGGATTTAAGGGGATTTAAGGGATTTAATGGGATCTAATGGGATTTACTAGGATGATGATGGCCATTTTATATTTGGGGCAAACCGTCCATTTTTGGATATACATATATGTATGTATATATACATATATATATATATAGATATCTATATATACAAATATATTTATATACATATATATTTATATACATATATGCACACTATTGCATGCTATCCCTAGAAAATCCAAAATCCCATTCCATCCCGTTGTAGCAACTCACCTTTCCTTCTTGCTCAACGCTTATCCTCGCCTCTCCGAGGAGGGTGACTTGGTCAAAGTGCAGGTGCAGAATGCCACCGTGACGCTGCAGCTCTCCTTGGCTGAGTGAACGTAGAAACGGCCAGGGGGGTTCGGACCGGTTGGACTGGGAGCCGTTCAAATAGTTTTTGTTTTGGGACAAGACTTGAAACATAGTGTTTTTGAATATTTGTTAATCTTGCTACATCTGTGGTAGATGACTTTTTTCGATGTTTTTTGGGGCAAGGTTACTAGATGTAGGCCATAACGGAAGGCAACTGCTTGGTATTTGGGGCTACATGGGATTATACCCCGTCTCTACATTGGAGAATCAACCAAAACGGTAAATGAAACTAGTTATCGAAGGAAGTTTAGAAGTCAAACTTCTGACTGATGGACAGATGCAGAAACAGTGGTGAGAGCAGTCAGAGAAGAGAACCAGTCAGAAGAGAAAGAATCAGTGGTAAGAAGATCAAGGTTTGCGAAAAGGTAGAAAAAGTCGCGAAACACTGTGTTTTTCCAATGTTTTGTGGCTGTGGAGGGTCGAACGAGAGATCAAAATTTGCACGCCATTGTGGCGCGAAGCAGATTTGGAGTTCGAAGCAGTTTTGGCAGTTGAGATGTCGAAAAAGTGCACGTGACTGTGGCGCGAAGCACGTTTCGAAGTAAACAATGTACAAGCACCGCAGCCACTAAGTTGAGATGTTCAAAAAGTGCACGCCGTTGTGGCGCGAAGCACATGTCGAAGTCAAAATACAAAAAACACACCATTGCCGGAGCACTTTTGGAAGTGGAGCTGTTCAAAAGCTGCGCCCTATTGTGGGGCGAAGCACATTTCAAAACAAACATGCTAAAGACTTCAGTCTCGGAACAGTTTTGGAACTTGCGATGTTCAAAGTGCACGTGGCTGTGGCGCGAAGCCCGTTTCGAAGTCAAATTGCTAAAAACAATTCAGCCCCGAGGCACTTTTGAAGGTTGAGCTGTTGAACAAGTGCACGCCGCTGTGGCGAAGCACATTTCGAAGTCAAAATGCCGCTAAAACACCACACGTGCGAAGCACTTTTGGAAGTTAAGATGTCGAAAAAGTACGCGCCATTGTGGCGCAAAGCACATTTCGAAGTGAACATGTTCAAAGCACCACGTTCGGAGCACTGTTGGACGTTCAAGCCATTTTTCCTGGTGCCTGAGATTCGGTACCTTGTCAAAAGTGAGCCAAAGGTGTGGGTTTTGTAGCTGATGGCAGGTGCGGGATGTTTGAAGAGGATCTACAAAGATGGATGTCGCCGGCAGGCGCAGTACAAGAGACATCTCCATCAGACATGTCAAGAGGTCAGGGCGCAGATTTCCTGAGAGAGGTTGCATTTTGGAGCATCAAATGATTTTTGGGTGGCAGTTGCAGCCTGTCGTATGACTTGGTGGCACTTTTTCGGGAAAACCGCAAAACGCATTGGTACGAGGCCATCAGGTCTGCACTCAACTTTCCATTCTTGAAGGAAGTCTCGCAGAAATGCTTCCGTTTTGATGTTGTCAAATTAAGTTCAAAAACTGAGGAAGTCTTGCAGAATTGCTTCGTTTTGGACACAATTTATTTTTAGAAAGAAGAGAGATATAAAGGTAGATATATAGTGAGATACAGATAGTCAGAAAAACAGATAGTCAGATAGATAGATTGACGACAGATAGATAGACAGTCCAGTCAGATAGACAGATAGACAGACAGATAGCTAGATAAGCAGAAAGACATATAGATAGGTAGACAAGCAGACAGATAGATAGATAGTTAGATAGTGAGAAAGAGAGAGGTAGACAGATAGAAAGATAGACAGATAGAAAGATAGACAGACAGATAGATAGAAAGATAGAAAGGTAGGTAGGTAGATAGATCAGTTAGTTAGTTAGTTGGTTGGTTGGTTGTTTGGTTAGTTAGTTAGTTATTTAGTTAGTTAGTTAGTTAGTTAGTTCGTTAGTTCGTTAGTTCGTTAGTTCGTTAGTTCGTTAGTTCGTTAGTTCGTTCGTTCGTTCGTTCGTTAGTTAGTTAGTTAGTTAGTGAGTTAGTTAGTTAGTTAGTTAGTGAGTTAGTTAGTTAGTTAGTTAGTTTGTTAGTGAGTTAGTTAGTTAGTTAGTTAGTTAGTTAGTTAGTAGTTAGTTGGTTAGTTAGTTAGTTAGTTAGTTAGTTAGTTAGTTAGTTAAGTAAGTAAGTAAGTAAGTTAGTTAGTTCGTTCGTTCGTTAGTTAGTTAGATAGTTAGATAGATAGATGGATAGAAATAGATGGATAGAGATAGATAGAGATAGATAGATAGATAGATAGATAGATAGAGATAGAGATGGAGATAGAGATAGATATAGAGATGGAGATAGAGGTAGATATAGATATAGATATTGATATTGATAGTGATAGATAGATAGATGGATAGATAGATAGATCGATGGATAGATCGATCCATAGACAGTTTGATAGACGGACAGATAGATAGATAGCTAGATAGCTAGATGGATAGAGATATGGATAGATAGATGGATAGATGGATAGATGGATAGATGGATAGATGGATAGATGGATAGATGGATAGATGGATAGATGGATAGATGGATAGATAGATAGATAGATAGATAGAGACACACACAGAGAAGGATACCAAGAGAGAGAGAGAGAGAGAGAAAGCGACTCAGAACTTCCGACACCTTTCGGTCCATCAGTTCGCTGTGCCATCCATGAATCGCAAGTCACTTCTCCTATAAGATTCCTATCTTTGAAATGCCGCCGCCTTGTGCAGTCCTGGTAAACGAAGTGGCTTCTTGGAGCGTCATCCCACGCATCGTCACCGGCGTGACCGTAAGTCGGGTTGTGACCCAGATGGAATCACGACTTATAGGACTTACGGTCACGACGATTCATCAATTACCAAGATGATCCTCCAAGCTTTGGTGACCAACTGATCTTTTCTCCTGATTCCCTGACATATGCAACCTTGGAATGTATTGGATCTATTTATTAGGGGGTAGAGAGGACTTAGTTGTCACAAAAGGCCCAAATGGATCCAAATGACCTAATGGTTTTTGCATCTTGTTTTCAAACTTCAAAACCCCTTTCACAGTTTGTAACTCCGATAGAGGACCTGAGAGTACTTTCATGGGTCAATGATCCTGTGGGGGGGCTGCCTGAGGGGATGAATGGACACTACGAGTTACCTTTTTGGGCAACAAAAAAATGACACATGGCAAAAATGACACCGGCCCAGACCGATTTCTTCCGAACAGAGATCGTTGCCCTGCAGAACAGTTTTTTTGCAGTTGGATGTGTTCCAACTTGGGGCTGGGTTGCAGGTAAAAATGTTTCGCATGTTTTCAGAGATCATGCAATTCCTGAAACATGTACAAAATGGAAAAGCGTGGATATCACGCACAACAGAATGGGTTTATTATATACCAACAATACCCTCCAGTAGTCAGTCATGGCAATGGACAATTCTCTGTCAGAGAGGATTTTTCATGATTTTTCCATTTACCCTCTGGTAATTTAACATAGCTATGGAAAATCACAATTTTCATGGGAAAATTCAGTATAAATGGTGATTTTCCATAGTTATGTAAAATTACCAGAGGGTATATAAAAGGTTTTTTTCCATTGCCACGTTTGATTACTGGAGGGTACCAAAAATATCCATTGGGATCTTCAGATGATTGGGATGGCCAACATTGGTATGGTCAACATCTGGATGAATTAAAAAGGATCCAACCGAAGGACAGGACTCGGACTGCTTGGTGGTTTCATAGTGAAGCATCCAATGTTTATCCAATCTCATTCGCACCCAAATGGCAAATACAAAAAATCAGCATGAAGAAAAATCTTGGGTTGTTATTACAGCAGGTATATTCATCACGTTGCAAGTCACCACCAATCATTGGGTTACAACCCTGCCTTAACGGTGACAACCAACTTCCTTCCTGGTGACAACTTGCTGCCGGCTGCCTAAAGGTGGATTTTTTCACGACCTCACGTCGCGACCAAACGGTTTGGAATCTAACGGTTAGGATTCGGGGAATCATCCCCTTTTATGGCCGCAAGATTCAGGTTAGTGACATATTCTGGTTGGTGGTTTGGAACATTTTTTATTACGAAAGCCAGCTAGCTGGCTAGTTGCTGTTTGCGAACGAAGTGAGAATAGGGGGTGTGGGGGGGGGTGGTTGCCGAAAGGGAACGAAATCTCGCCGTGCCCCTGTGTTGAGCGCGAGAAAACGGAGCATTTTGCTGGATTATGTACCACTAGGCAATTTGCTGACGGTGGGGTATCGATTCCCCCTAGGTCCGCCTTTTTGGTGGCCGGAGAGACCATGAGGATGTATTGGAAAATACAATGAAACTGCAGGAAAACATGATAACGATCAGAGGAAATCGTACAAAATCCCTTGGAAAACGGACGAAAACGGAGCGAATGCTAGGAACAAACCATGGAAAATCCCTTGGAAAATGGAGGAAACCGGAGCGAATGCTAGGCGCAAACCATGACGATACAGTAAACATGCTGGAAAAATACAGTGAAAGTGCAGGAAAATGTGATAACAACGAGACGAAATGGTGCAAAAAGGATCGGAAAATGAAGGAGACAGGTAAAACTCTTGGATTAATATTAATATTGAAAAGGTATGAAAATGCAGGAAGCCAGAGGAAATGGTGCAAAAACCTATGGAGGAAAGAGGTGAAAATGATAGGAAACATGTAGTAAAAAAATGCTGGACAAAACATATTGAAAACCCACGAAGAGGATGTATTGGAAAATACAATGAAACTTGAGGAAAACATGATAACGATCAGAGGAAAATGCTAGGAACAAACCATGCAAAATCTGTTGGAACATGGAGGAAACCGGAGTGATTGCTAGGAACAAACTATGACGATGCAGTAAACATGCTGGAAAAATACAGTGAAAGTGCAGGAAAATGCGATAACAACCAGAGGAAATGGTGCAAAAACGATCGGAAAATGAAGGAGACGGGTAAAACTCTTGGAAAAATACATTGAAAATGCAGCAAGCCAGAGGAAATGGTGCAAAAAGGAGACGGGTAAAAATCTTGGAAAAATAGATTAAAAATGCATGAATAGACTGAAAACCCACGAAGAGGATATAGAAACTGCAGGAA